AGACTTAGATTCCCAAACGCATAGATAGCAGGTTGATACAGTTTCGTGACAGAGAATAATCATCATTATTTTCACGAAATAAATTTGAACAAGATGTCAAGAACATGAGATGATTTCTCTGAAATAAACTAATAATAAAGTCACGAAACAAGTAGATTCTTGAATTAGTCCAATTTCTCCTTGTGTTTGACTATCTCCCCGAGTGAATACTCATCCAACTCACATGTGAGGAGAGTAGGTTTGACCGAGAGATCAATAGGAGACTTCATGATTTGAAGTTCAGCATGGTCCACACAGGAGGCTGGATCATTCCTTCCTTTCCGAGATAGACGCATGATGCGTTCCTTAGCATGTTTTTCGGCTTCTTTTAGATAAAACTTCCTCCTAGCTTGAGAGATTTCGTCCAGATCTTCACTAGGGTAATCTCTGTTTTCTCTTTCTTTTGGGTTGAAAGAGATATGGAAACCTTCAGCTTCATGTTTTATGGTTACAATCCTTGCATTGCATAGCATATCTGGATCATCCTGCTTTTCCAGCTTGACTGTTTTCTCCTTTCCTTTGTTGTTTTCCATACCTGCACAATCAAAAACAAGAACTAGATTTCTACTCAAAAGGTAGGTTAGTGTGAATTTGGTGACGAGAGGTTCTCCTTTTTATAGGAATTTTGCGTGCAAGGATGGTCAAAATCTTCATGATACATATATCGAGGAGATTTTATTGGAATATTGTGAGAATCTTTGCAGATTTGATTCCCAATCTTCATGCCATTTCAATCATCCCGATTTCATGTCTCAGGAGGGAGAATCTTGCTTCACTTAAAGGTTTCGTAAGAATATCTGCAAGCTGATCATCAGTGTTAACATATTCAAGAGATATATCTTTTCTTTCAACATGATCACGAATAAAATGATATTTGATATCAATATGCTTGGTTCGTGAGTGTAGAACAGGATTGTGCGTAATGGCAATGGCACTCGTATTATCGCATTTAATGCTTACTTCTCGTGCATTGATGCCATAATCTTTTAATTGATGAGTCATCCAGAGAATTTGAGCACAACAGCTCCCAGCTGCTATATATTCGGCTTCAGCCGTGCTGGTAGCAATAGAGTGTTGCTTTTTAATGAACCAAGAAACAAGTCTTCCGCCTAGAAACTGGCAGGTTCCCGAGGTGCTTTTACGATCAATTCGACATCCAGCAAAATTAGCATCCGAATACCCAACAAGATCGAAGGACCCTTCTTTCGGGTACCAAAGTCCAACGCTTTGTGTCCCTTTAAGGTATCTTAAGATCTTTTTGGTTGCACTTAGATGGCTTTCCTTCGATTTAGCTTGAAATCTAGCACATACCCCAACAGCAAACGAAATGTCAGGTCTGCTTGCTGTTAAGTATAGAAGGGATCCAATAATGCCACGAAAATTCTTTTGATCCACATCTTTTCCTTCGTTATCAATATCCATTCTAAGAGATGTGCTCATAGGAATCTTGACGGATGTTTTTCCGTCAATGCCAAACTTTCGAATTAAGTTCTTAGTGTACTTGGCCTGATTTATAAAAATTCCATCTGAGCATTGCTTCACTTGCAATCCCAGAAAGTAATTTAGTTCTCCCATCATGCTCATTTCAAATTTGCCTTGCATGAGATTTGAGAACTTTTCACATAAATTAGGATTCGTGCTCCCGAAAATGATGTCATCAACATAGATTTGTACCAAGAGGATATGATCATTATTTTTGATACGAAAGAGCGTCTTATCTACGGCTCCTTTCGTGAAACCACAGTTTAAGAGAAAGAAAGATAGAGTGTGTAAAACCCCCTAAAACCATGCTATTTTAAAGTCTTAAACATGCAGAGAACTAAACCAAACAACAAACACAGCGGAAGACTGAAAGATAGATGTATATAAATAAACTGGAATACGGGGTGCTATGCCACGTTCACCAAAGAGATGAACGTAGAGGCAACATCTGCAATGTTTAAATCTAAACCAAATATCTCATTGTTCTACATCTAAGCTGGCTCACAGGCCACAAAACATAAGGGAGAAGCTATACTAGCAAGCACTAGACCGCGCACTCGTCTAGACATCACCTGAAAGAACACAATAAACATGGGACGACGCCCGGTCAGCGAATAATGCTGGTAACCCACCAATACATGTGAAATATCATACATAGGTAAGATATAAGTTTGTAAAGCCATTTTCGAAACAGAATACATAGATATATAAGTGTAAAACCAAGAGTAATAATCAACACACAAGACTCAAACACTCTCAACAAGAACACGGGAACACATCCCAAGACTACAAAGAACAACAACGACTCACAAGAAGTCTCAAGGTATAATCTATCATCACACAATAGATTAATACCCGACATGCAAAACTCAAAGGAATAAAGACACAACAAACGGCAACACATGCCAAGGCAACACATGCCTTTGTGACTACACACGTCACAAGAAGAGAACTCACAACAACGGCTACACAAGCCCTCGTGACATCACCCATCACGAGTTGATATGCCTTCCTTATGCCCGGTTACAACCTTATGGCTACCCCCAACCTTATATCTAGTTCCAACCTTTACCTCCAGGACCCCTGTACACCAAGTCCAACCATTTCCCTCCGAGGACCGTCGTCCCCTCTCCAACAGATCTCCAACAGAACCACCGATTTCATAGTGCACGAGGGTACCGATTTCACACACGGCAACACATGCCACCCAAGAAATACGTGAACCTTACACAAAGGTCACAACTCCATAATCACATCATGGCCACCACGAGGACCACTGCAATACCTTGTGACTAGTGTCCCTTACCACTAATCGTGCAATCCAGGTAAAGCCACACACACATCACACCTCAACAGGAATCAATCAACATATCACAACGAAGATATGAAACCATACTCAATCAAGGAATGGGACACAGCCCAACAACAACAACGATGAATAACACAAGTTATCATCAACCAATAGGAAGGTACAAACAACACACACGCTAGCATTTAAACACCGAACTAGCATGCTTATCAAACGGGTAAACCAAACGTAGTTCCGAAGAACACACAAGACTCATCACGGTTTAACGAAACACAATGTTGAACACTTAGCACGATTCAAGACACCAAAACCTACATGGAATCCTACCATATAGCTCTAGACATACGAAACATCAAGAAGACACTCAAATAGTTCCACAAAAGAACATCGGGAAGTCAAAAGACCAAATACCGAGTCAAAAGAATCACGGGGAACAAATCCCCCAACATCCACAACACATACCCCGCGGGTGGGCCCACGGGTAGGCCCCTACCCGTGGTCCTGCCCGCAGGTACAAGCCCTTCCACAACATGTAGCCCCCGGGTGGGCGGCGGGTGGGCCTCCTACTCGTCGTTCCGCCCGCGAGTACACTCCTGTACCACAACAAAACACTTCGCGAATTTTCATCTCCAAACTCAAATTCAAGTCCAAAACATGCCAAATCTCACCAAATACAACAAAATGACTTGAATCAAAGGAATAGCCAAGCAATGGCATACAAGAACCCTAAACACAAGCTCTAGATATGCATTTTCACAAGACAATGCATAAACACTCACATTTCATAGCAAAACACATGTAGAATCCAAGAAATATTCATATAGGTAAGCAAAATAGATTTTGTAGAGCACGGGTTACCTCTTGTAGACTAAAGACTTCACTTTACACCTCAACAAGCTCTTCACAAAGCTCACCTTCCAAACCCACTTCAAGAACATACCAAAAGATCATAAAGATCCTATCTTTAAGAAAAGACAGCTTAGATAAAACTAAAAACACAAGATGAACTTAGATCTTATCCTCCTAGATACCCAAATATATGAAAGGTTGAATCTTGGAAGCAACTCTTGAAGTTTTGGCAAGGCTCCAACTTGGCTTGGAAGGAAAGCTATCTACCTTTTTAGAGAGAAGGTGGAGCTAGATTTTTAGAAAGTGTGAGGAAAGAATGAAGATAATCTACTAGGTTAGGTTACAATACTAACACCAAGTGAAAGGTCAAGAATGCCCTTACGAACATAAGGAAATGTAAGGGAACTCCCTATAAAGCTTAAGGTACAACTTTGACTTTGGGGTTGACTAGTCAATTACTAGTCCCCGACTATTGAATTTTCAGGATTTTTAGGAATTAAACCATTAATTGAAATAGGGTTAATTACTCAATTAATCCCTTAATTGAATTTGGATTTTGGGGTGTAACAGAGTGTCATACCATGCCCTTGGAGCTTGCTTAAGACCATATAGAGCTTTCTTTAGATGATATACCTTTTCATGCTCACATTCAATGGCGAAACCTGGTGGTTGTTCAACATATACTTCCTCTTCTAATAAACCATTCAGGAAAGCACTTTCACATCTATTTAATATACCTTGAAGTTCTTGTGTGCTGCGTAGGCTAGGAATATTCTTATTGCTTAAAGTCTTGCCACAGGAGCGAAGGTTTCATCAAAATCTATACCTTCTTCTTGGCAGTAGCCTTTTGCGACGAGACGAGCTTTGTTCCTAACAATTAGGCAGTCTTCACTCATCTTGTTTCTGAATACCCACTATGTACCAATAACATTTTGATGGGTGGGTCTAGCAACCAATTCCCAGACTTTGTTCCTTTCGAATTGGTGAAGTTTTTCTTGCATGGTTGTTACCCAATCAGGATCACATAGGGCTTCTTCTATGGATTTTGGTTTTATTTGAGATAAGAAGCATGCCATCATATTCACATGAACGTTGGCCCGAGTTCTTACTCCTTCTTGGATATTTCCTATGACTTGATCAGGGGGATGGTCTCTTAACCATCTAAGATCGGGTTCAAACAAACTTTGCTGATTCTGTATGTCCATCTCAGGGATATAAGGTAGTTCAACATAAATCATAGGTTCAGATGATGTCTGGATATCGGGAACTTCTTGTTGCATGCCATCACCTTCTTGAACTAAAGCTTCGGGTTCAGAGGGCTTCAATTGATATCTCGTGTAGGAGGATAGAATATCTTCATCGTCTGAAATTTCTTCTCATTTGGTTCTTGAGAGCTTTGATTCAGATTGATAGATGATTTAATGCCAACAGGATTTTTCTCAGATTTCTCATTGAACTTGACATGTATAGATTCCTCGATAACTATTGTTCTTTTGTTCAGAATTCTGAAAGCCTTACTCGCTGAGGAATAGCCCATGAACAATCCTTCGTCCGCTCTTTCGTCGAAAGCTTTCAGATGATTCTTCCCATTGTTGTGAATGAAACACCTACAACCAAAAACATGAAAATAGCCAATGCTAGGTGTCTTACCTTTCCATAGTTCGTATGGGGTTTTGTTGTGTGACTTGTTGATCAAGGATTGATTCTGTGTGTAGCATGCTGTGTTTACAACTTCAGCCCAAAACCGCTTTGGTAAACCCGAGTGAGCAATCATTGTTCGTGCGGCTTCTTTCAAAGTTTTGTTCCTTCTTTCGGCTACTCCGTTTTGTTGAGGGGTTCGTGCTGCCGATAATTGATGAAAAATGCCGTTTTATCCACAGAAATCTTTGATAACTTTGTTGACGAATTCAGTTCCTTGATCTGATCTTATTTGGATAATCTTGACTTCCTTTTCTGTTTGAAGCTGTCTCAAGAGATTTGGTAGAGCAATTTCTGTTTCATTCTTTTTCTTTAAGAAGAGTACCCAAGTATATCTCGTGTGATCATCTACTACAACGAGACTGTACTTTCTCCCACTTAGACTTGCTGGATCAACTGGTCCGAAGAGATCCATATGTAGAAGACTTAAAGGTCGAGAGTTCACATCTGTGTCTTTGGATTTGAAGGATGATTTGATTTGTTTCCCTTTTTGACATGCTTCACATATCTTGTCTTTCACATAAGATGTTTTCGGCAAACCTTTCACGAGATCTTTCTTGGCAAGCTTGTTGATTGTCTTTAGATTTAGGTGGCTCAACTTGTTGTGTCATTCCTAGCTTAAATCTGCATTGTTCTTAGCAACAAGACAAACGTTAGCGTTAAATGAATTCCAAGAAACTACGTACATGTTTTTCTTTCGCTGGCCTGTTAGGACAGTTTCGCCATCTCTCGTGCTGATTATACTGCATTTGTCTTTTGAGAATTCGACCTTGTAGCCTTTGTCACAGAATTGACTCGTGCTTAGTAGATTAAATTTTAGCCCTTCAACATACGATACATCTTGAATAGTTATTCCATTTTTGATAATGTCTCCTGTCCCACGAGTTTTGCCACTTGTTTCGCCTCCAAAGATGACTTTGGGTCCGTCAATTTCTTTAAAGTTGCTCAACATTTCTTTGTCATCAGTCATATGTCTTGAGCATCCGCTATCAACATGCCATATGACTTGTTTATCCTATAAGAAAGATTATACGTTTTTAGGTACCCCTTGATTTACGGGTCCTTGAGGGTTAGATGTCAACTTTGGGATCCACATGAACCTAGAGTTTCCTTGACTCATCCTTGGTCCTCTATATCCATTAGGTGTGCGATAATCATAATTTATCTTGGCAAAGGTTTTAGCATTGTATCTCTCCCGAAAATATTCTGCAGGAGGATTGCGATACTCTTGAAATAATTAGTTTGTTTACGCAGATGTATTTTCTCAAATTCTTCTCTTGATAGAGGTTCTGGGTAAACAAACCAATCTTCCTCTGATGGCCCAGTCCATCCATTTCCATAGCCAGATCTTTTGAAGGATCTTTCATTTTGTCTGATTTGTCCATTTCTCGGGATTCCTTGAGTAGGATTCTTTCGTGTAGATTTTGGACGATATTGCCTCTGGTTAACATTCAGTATTTTCCTTGATTGAATATCCTTATAAGGCTGACCCTTTTTATGGTGTAGATTTTGTCCATTGCCATTTGGTCCATTCCTTTTGACATATCTATGTCTAGGATTGCCTTTGAAGGGTTTTTCAACTCTAGGTTCCACAATTCGTTGTACAGCCTTTCCTTTCGGTTGGCTTGTTGATTGTGGCATAGCGACATTGTTAACATTCGTCATAGGCTCAGACATCTGGGTGGGGCCTTGAACAAATGCTGATTGAAAACTCTCCTGAGAGTAAGCATTGGTAGATTTGTTCAAGCCGATTTGTGAAGAGGAGCTGGGGTCAAAACCAATTCCCGTTCTTTCCTCGGGCAATCTTGATCCGTTCACCATTCGGTCCATTAGATTGGACGAATTGTTGAATGAATTTAAGATTTCACGTAATTGTTGCTCCCTCTTTTTTCTTTCTGTACACTGCTCTTTTAGAGCGAGAACATTTTTCTCAAGTTGATCTTTAGTAATGGCTAGCTTTATGTTCTCAATTCGAACTTGCCTTAGCGCATTGTAGCTGATCATAAGCTGAGAGTTCTCCTCTTTTAATTTAGAGTATGTGTTTTTTATTATCTTGAACTCTCTCATCATTTCGGTAACTGATTCATTGGAAGCTTGACTCCTTATAGAACTAGACTCTGCTGAATAACAGGAGGATGATTGTGAATTTACCTCATCATCATCGGCCATAAGGCATAGTTCATCTGACTCTTGGCTAAACAGACATAGTAGTCCTTTTTCTTCTTCAGTACTATCCTCATCCGAACTTGAGCTTGAGGAACTGCTTTCGGCTTCAATAGTGTCAGATGTTTCGTTCACTACCATAGATTTCCTTCTTCTTTCGTTTCTGGAGTTCGACGATTCTGGCTTGTCATTTCTCTTGTAGTTTTCTCCTGCTTCTTTGGATGGGCTTTTGACAGCATTGCCATCTTGGTGCTTGCTCACAATTGGATGTGGACAGTTTGCTTTGAAATGTCCTGGCTTCCGACAATTGTAGCATAGCAATTGCGAGTCTGATGTCTCTTGCTTTGAGGTTTGAGGTGAACTCTCGTGTTTTCTTCGGTGTCCCGAACGTTGAAAATCTTGGAAGTTGTTCTTCCTCATAAACCTCTTCATTTTCCTAACAAATAGAGCATATTGTTCATCAGATAGAAATTCACAAGAGTTAGATTTTGACCTATTTGATGTTGATGCCTGCTGGTTGGCCACAAGAGCTACATTTCTTGTTTCGGGTTCATCAGCATCCTTTGGTTCATGCTCAAACTCGTAAGCCTTAAGATCACTAAAGATCTTGGTTGTGCTTGTGGTCTTCATGTCTCGGTGATCTCTCATTGCTGTGACCTTCATCTCTCAAGACTTCGGTAGGCCACGAAGGATCTTCAGATTCTTTTCCTTTTCGGACAATTCTTTCTCGAGATCAGACAGATCACCCATGAGCCTAACGAACCTCAGTTCCATGTCTGTGACAGCTTCATTCGGCAACATCTTGAAGTCCACGAACTTCTTCATGGCCATTGTCAATTTGTTGTCCTTCTCCTGTTCGTCTCCTTCACCCAGGTTCATCAGAACATTCCAGATCTCCACAGCGTTTTTTCCATTTTCTGACTCTGGGGAACAAGGATTCGTCGAGAGTGTGACACCCCAAAAATCCAAATTCAATTCATGGATTAATTGAGTAATTAATCCTATTTCAATTGAGGAATTAATTTCTAAAATCCTGAAATTTAATAGTTGGGGACTATTATTTGACTAGTCAACTCCAAAGTCAAGTTGTACCTTGAGCTTTGAAGGGAGTTCCCTTGTTCCTTACACCTTTCTAATGTTAGTAAGGGCATTCTTGACCTTTCACCAAGTGTTAGTATTGTAACCTAACCTGGAAGACATCTTCATTCTATCCCTTACAATTTCTAAAATTTAGCTCTACCTTCTCTCTAGAAAGGTGAGTAGCTTTTCCTCCAAGCTAAGTTGAGACCTTGTCAAGACTTCAAGATTTGCTTCCAAGATTCAACCTTTCACCTGTTTGGGCATCTAGGAGGGTAAGATCTAAGCCTATCTTGTGTTTTTGGTTCCATCTTAGGTGTCTTTTTTCTTAAAAGTAGGATCTTTATGATCTTGTGGTTTGTTCTTGAAGTGGGTTTGGAGGGTGAGCCTTGAGAAGAGCTTGTTGAGGTGTAAAGTGAACTCTTTAGTCTACAAGAGGTAACCCATGCTCTACAAAATCTATTTTTCCTACCTATATGTGATTTCTTGGATTCTACATGTGTTTTGCTATGAAATGTGAGTGTTTATGCATTTGTCTTGTGAAAATGCATATCTAGAGCTTGTGTTTAGGGTCCTTTTGTGCCATTGCTTGGCATTTCCTATGATTCAAGTCATTTTGTTGTATTGGGTGAGATTTGGCATGTTTTGGACTTGAATTTGTGTTTGGAGACAAAAATCTGCGAAGTGTGTTGTTGTGGTACAGGATTGTACCCGCGGGCGGAACGGCGGGTGGAGCACCACCCGTCGCCCCACCCGCGGGTACGGGCCTCATGGGAATATGTTCCTGCGGGCGGAACCACCGGTGGTGCGCTACCCGTGGGTCCACCCGCGGGGAACATGATGAGATTAATGGGGGATTTGTTCCCCTTGATTCTTTTGACTCGGTATTTGGTCTTTTGACTTCCCGTTGTTCTTTTATGGAACTATTTGAGTGTCTTCTTGATGTTTCGTATGTCTAGAACTATATGGTAGGTATCCATGTAGGTTTTTGGTGTCTTGAATCGTGCTAAGTGTTCAACATTATGTTTCGTTGAACCGTGATGAGTCTTGTGTGTTCTTCGAAACTACCTTTGGTTTACCCGTTTGATAAGCATGCTAGTTCGATGTTTAAATGCTAGTGTGTGTGTTGTTCGTACTTTCCGATTGGTTGATGATAACTTTTGTTATTCATCGTTGTTGTTGTTGGGCTGTGATCCATTCCTTGATTGAGTATGGTTTCATATCTTCGTTGTGATCCGTTGATTGATTCCTGTTGTGGTGTGATGTGTGTGTGGCTTTACCTGTTGTGGTGTGATTCCTGTTGTGGCCTTTGTGTAAGGTTCACGTGTTATGGGGGATAACATGTGTTATCCGGGGCATGTGTTGCCATGTGTGAACGGTACCTCGTGTACTATGAATCGGTGGTTTTGTTGGAGGGACAGTTGGAGGGGGAACGACGGTTCCCGGGGGAATAAGGTTGGACTTGGTGTACAGGGGTCCTGGAGGTAAAGGTTGGAACTAGATATAAGGTTGGGGGTAGCCATAAGGTTGGAACAGGGCATAAGGAAGGCATATCAACTCGTGATGAGTGATGTCACGAGGGATTGTGTAGCCGTGGTTGTGTGTTCTCTTCTTGTGACGTGTGTAGTCACAAAGGCATGTGTTGCCAATGGTCTTGTCGTTACCTTTTGTGTTGTGGTTAACCTTTGTGGTTTGGGATGTGTTCCCGTATCCTTGTTGAGAGTGTTGAGTCTTGTATTGACTATTGATCTTGGTTTTTGACTTATATACTTATTTATTCCGTTTCGAAAATGGTTTTACAACTTATATCTTACCTATGTATGTTATTTCACATGTATTGGTGGGTTACCAGCATTATTCGCTGACCGGGCATCGTCCCATGTTTATCTTTGTGTTCTTTCAGGTGATGTCTAGACGAGCGCGATGTCTAGTGCCTGATAGTTTAGTACCTTTCCTTTGCTTTTGACCTGTGAGCCGATGTAGTGATAGACTTATGGCTTTGGGATAGTTGTGTACACAATGCAGATTTGACCGCCGTAGCGTTTATCATTGTTGATAAACGTGGCATAACACCGCCGTAGCATTTATCATTGTTGGTAAACGTGGCATAACACCCCTATTTAGATTTGCTTTTATCTAGTTACCTTTTTATCTTCATTGTTGGTAAACGTGGCTAGTGTTTTGTTGTGTTATCTGCATGTGTTAAGACTCTTTATATAGCTTGTTTTGGGGGGTGTTACAGAGAGAGTTGTAGAGAATGTTTCGTGCTACATTATCCAGGTTCGCTCTTGTTATTTCCTTCGAGGTGAGTTGACACTTCGGCTTTGGTATCATCTGATCAGCACCTGCTCCTTGTGCTGCAGCTTGTGTATTTGCCATCATGATGGTGATTGGACCTGTGGTTAGTACATCCCACATTTCGTCATGTATTGCCGAGAGAAGAGCCTGCATCCTGATTTTCCAGTCATCAAACATGGAGAGGTTAAAGGCAAGCTTCTTCGTATGGTGAGCATGATCCTTTTCCATTTTTACGAAAAATGTGCAAAGCTGAAAATATGCAACTTTTCAGAAAACTTTTGATAAGGGATCTACCAGGCAGTAATGCAAAGCCTTTACCGATCAAGGTATTGGCTCTGATACCACTTGTTGGTCCCGGTAGAGTTAGAACGAGAGTCTAGAGGGGGGGTGAATAGACTCTTCTCGATTTCTGGCAAATAGCAACCTCTCGGGGTTGTAGTGCAGCGGATAAGTTAAGTTGGTTTTAGTTGCTTTGCACAGTTTGAAGTTTTAAGACAACTTTCGGTTTAGACGAGTGATAATGCAATGCTGGAAAGTAAAGCACGAAAGTAAAAAGATAGAGAGACGAGAGTTTTTATAGTGATTCGGCCAACTTTGCCTACTCCACTCTTCTTCCACAACTTATGGAAGGTTTGCACTATCACTCGTTAGTACAAATACACACGAAAGCTTCCTTGATCCATACACTTCTTCTCTAAGTACCTTATGTGGTATAAAACTTAATGAATAAATCTTATGTTCATTCTCGATTATAATTAGTTATCAAAAACTAATTATTGCCGCAATGGCTAAATTTGGCCTAATAAACTTACACCAGTTGATTTGTACAACATTAATGGAAAATGTTACAATTTTCCATTTGGTGCAAGTATTGGCACAACATTCATTGAAAATCAAAAGCATGAATCATAGTGGTATGTCCTCTAAATTAAAGTGTGAGTAATTCCCAACTTAGGTCCTTTATGAATAAACCATATGTTTATTCTTGGTCCAACCTTATGGATGTTTCTCAAATAAATATGTGCATAACCATAGGAGAAACCATCCATATTACATAGAGGTGACAACATAAATGTACGTACAATATAGTTACATAATAAGTTCCATGTACCCTGTATGATCCCTAAAATTCTTATAAGCATGCCTTAAGTATGGATCTAAAACTATTAGCAAAATGCTAATATATTACATGACTAACTCATTATCTTTAATATTATCGCTGACAGCTAAGTTTTCAGAGTTGACACGTCTGTCACTCATACTTTCATTAACCTTAGCCAAAGATAATAATTGAGTAGTCCATATTTCAACGACTTAGATAACAAATTCATGAGTCTAAGCCCACAAACGGAACTTTAAACATACACCTTATAAATGATCTCCAAAAAAGAAGGAAGCCCAACTTTCATGTCATAGAGCAATAACGAGGATTTTATCAATGTAACTTTATGAAACAACAAAATATTGTATCAACATAACCAAAAATCCTCAAGATTCATCTAATGAACCAACATCGAGTCTTTGCTTGTTTTATTTCTCTCAACATTGAATTTTGAGCCTTTTAGAATCTTAATGGCCCAGGATCAATTTGATGAGACGAAAGACTCCAATAAATGCTAAAAAAATTTAACTCGTGATAGTTCACCATAAACTTAGTGTCATTGTTATAATAAAAACTATTAATGTTGTTACAACATTTTCATAAATATGTTGCACAACTTGTAGTTCAAAAAATTGAACTATTGATTTTATAATAACAGGGCAAGGTGTCTTATCCTCGAAGTGGAGCAATCTTGAAGTGAGCCATCTTTAATGATCTTTCCAAATGATCACTCCCACTGATCAAATGTGGCATCTTATTGATCTTTTAAATGATCACTCCCACTAATCAAACCATTACTCCCACTAATAAAGCTATTCTTGAGCATAAATGATATACACACTAATGATCCTCAAGTCCAACTAATTTTAACAAGGATTATAATTCTCCACCATAGTTGGACATGTTAAATGTGTACATGTAACAGACACAATTTTCAACTACTTAAACAAATTAAATTGCTTTAGTTGAAATTTGGCTAGATATGTACAATTCCAATATAAGGATCCAAAAGTATATCATGTCCAAATTCAAAATCTCTATTAACATCATAATTGAAAATATTATGGCAAGACTGAAATTAAAGCAATATCAAAAAGTCATAAACATAAGTATTTCCTAAAATTGTGATTCAAAATCACACTCCATAATTAAAATATTATTGAATTATGGCAAAGTTGCAAAATTC